GTATGTGTGTGTGTGTGTGTGTGTGTGTGTGTGTGTGTGTGTGTGTGTGTGTGTGTGTGTGTGTGTGTGTGTGTGTGTGTGTGCAGGTATATCAGCGTACCTGTAGAGCATTCTTCCTCTGTCTCTCTGACATCAGCTCAGCGTTACTCTGCTCCTCCTCCAGCTCCTCCTCCAGCTGACTGACTCGTGCATCTAACCTCCGCTTCTCTTCAAACAGCACATTCCTGGACAAACATTACATTGAAGTCCACATACCAACCGACAATACACAGATTCATGTAAGATATCTGTAGTGAAGGGATACTGACTTTCCAGAGCTGCTGTTGACCATCTCATCGGCCATCTCGTCTCTCTCCTGCTGAGCCTGTCTCTTCTGCCTGTCTGATACAGAGAGCTCCTACACAGACAAACAAATGCAAATGATGTTTTCAAATAATTCAAAAACATTCAATCTTTATATTTATTCTGGGTTTCAGTTATATAAATCAGGGTTCAAACACTTTTTCACCAATGATTTTCAATGACCTTTACCTAATTTTCCATGACCAAAAAAATTACTCTCTCAGCGGGACCACTGACATTTTTTTATTTGAACATGGTAAGCTGGAAAATAAGGTTTGCATATGAAACATGTTGTGCCTATCTAAAACAAATCAAATAGTTGGCTTACTAGCTCCTACAGACTAAAGCAAATGGAGACTAGAGGAAAATACCTCGTCAGTTAAATTCCATTTTACGTTTCATTACTATACGATACAGTATTTATTATCGTTATAGTATTACTACTTCGGCGATTAGATAAAATATAAATTATATTTGATGCAACTTTGGTTACATTTCCATGACTTTTCCAAAACTTCAAAAAATATTGTTTTCCATAACTTTTCCAGGGCCTGGAATTTGCATTTTGAATTTCCATGACTTTTCCAGGTTTGTAATGACCGTAGGAACCCTGATAAACGCACCTCAGTGAACTGCAGGACCTCTGCTTCCAGAGTTTGGATCCTCTTTTCGTTGTCCTTGGACTGAGTCATCACCTCTTCCCGGGACAACTTGCTCTCATCTAGCTCGCGCAGAACTTCCTTCATTTGACCCTGTGAAAAAAAGTTACATTTTATACCTAAACTCAGGCCATTAACGAGTTCAGAATGTCAACGTTTATGCGTAAATGTGTTTACCTGCAGCCTCCGTAGCTGCTTCATAGCGTCCTCTTTTCCGCGGGTGGTGGTCTCCACCGTGGCCTCCGCATCCTGCAGCTCTGCTTCCAGCTGCTTCTTGGACAACACAGCCCCAGACCTCTGACTCTTCTCCTCCTCCAGCTGGATCTCCAGCTCCCTCACCTGGCAAAGGACAGAGGACAAGAACATGTTGAGTGATTTGGAAAGAAGATATGACCAAATGTGTTGTTGCTGTTTCTCTCTCCCTCCTCCTCTCTACCTGTTTGCTCAGTGCCCTCCTCTTCTCCTCTCCCTTCTCCTCGTTGGTGCCGATCTCCCTCTCAAACTGGGCCTTGAGCGCCTGCAGGTTGACCTCCAGCCTCAGCCTGGAGTTCTCCGCCTCCGTCAGCTCCTCTTCCAGCTCCTGCGTCTGTATTCGCAGGTTCTGTGCTTCAGCTTCTAAGCTCCTGCGGCTGCGCTCCAGCTCATGGACCTGATGTGAGAGCAGAGAGGAGACGGTGACTCACTGAGGATTTAGACAGAGAAACAAGTCCAACGAGAAGGACTCTTACACTCTTGCCGACGTCGTCCTGCTGGTTAACAAGCTGTTCCATTTCCAGACGGAGCTGCTTGTTGGCCCTCTCTAGCTCTTCCTTTCCTTCCTGGGCCTCCTACACACAGAAGATCAAGAAGAGAATGAGTCATCACAATGGCAGATACATAACACCCATTGGTGTACCGTCTACTCTCAGTTGGTCTACCTGCAGGGCTCGGGAAAGTGCCATGTGTCTGGTCTCTTTCTCTCGGCTGTCTGCTTCTGCTCGGTCCTTTTCCTCTGCCAGCCGAGCGCTCACCGCCTTCTCCTCGGCCAGACACTGAGGGGGAGAGAGAGACACAGTGAAGAGGTCAGGGGAAGATATCTCAGAAAGACTTTTGCAGCTGGTGCGTGGAATCAATCTGATGGGGCTCTGACCTGGTCAAACTTCTTCTGCCTCTTCTCCAGGGCCGTGCAGTTCTGCCTCTCTCTCTGCAGGGCGAGGGTCATGTCCTCGATCTCCTCCCTCAGTCGCTCCCTCTGCCGCTCCACCCTCTCCTTCTCCTCCTCCTTCTGCAGCTCCTTTGCGACGGCGCTGTCCAGCTCTCTCTGGAGTTTCCTGCGCGTCTCCTCTCCGCCTTCCACGGCCGTGTTCACCTCCTCCGACTGCTTACGGAGCTCTGCCAGCTGAGAGGGAAAGGGGTTAATAACTCATAATAGTGACGTTGAATCTACACTTTTGGATATTGTGGATTATGAGGGGGTGTTAGAAAGGAAATGTGGTCAACTGAAACATGCAAGGTTTTCTCTGATGTACCTGCTGGGCATGGGTCTGAATCTGCCGGGTTAACTCTTTGGCTCTCTCCTCCTCTTCCTCCTGTCTCTCCATCAGTCCGTTCTTTTCCTCCTCCAGCGCTCGTACCCTCGAGCTGTGAGCCATCTTTTGACGACTTTCATCCTGCAGTTGTTCCTGAGAGAGAAGAAAATATTGAGTGTCAAATGTTTTTCATTCAAGATGGGCACCAATGGTACATTTCCCTAAAAACTATAAATCTTCTCTCAAGTGTCTGTGGTTGTAGTCGTATTAAACCCCTGCCCAATCCTCTGCTGAGTGTTTCACTGTGTTACCTTGGCATCATTCAGCTGGCTCTCCAGGCTGCTGACCTCTTTGGCCAGCCGAAGGGATTTGGTGTCAGAGGAGGACACACTGCCGCCGAGAGTCTCAAGCTCACACTGAAAAAAGACAGAGTGGATAAGTTTAGCTGAACTAATACAGGAAGATCCCTCTACTGCAAACATTCAATCTGACTTTAAAGCATACAAATCAACACCTATAGAGAGAGGAAGTCCCTCCCTGTCAGGGGGACCTCCATGGGAACTTATTTCGGAAAAAGTATGTATTGAAGTCAATGGAGGGAGAAAGATTAACTTTCGATCCCGTTTGAATTGTGCCACGAATTACACACATGACTTTTTTTAAAATGGAAATGATTTTTTAAGATGGACAAACATCATATGTGTATTTCGTGGCACAATTCAAACGGGATCAAAACCTTTCTCTCCCCATTGACTTCAATACATCATTTTTCCGAAATAAGGTCCCATGGGGCGGAAGGGACTTCCGTCTCTATTTAGCCACACAAACAAATTCACAACTGAACAAGTACATCTAAGGCTTGATATCAGTGTGTTGTATCCCTTTGCACCTGCAGCTTGTGCACTTTCTCTTCCTTCTCGTCCCGCTCTCTGTCGGCCTGAGCCAGGCGGGCGCCGACCTCCTGCAGCTGACCCTCGGCCCTCTTACGACCTCTCTCGCTCTCCGTGCGGCTCGCTTGGAGGCTCTTAAGTTCCGAGCTCAAATTCAGCCTCTCTTCCTCCAGCACTGATTTGGCCTTCTCAAAGGACTGACGTGCCTGAAAGACAAGATGGATACCACGCCTGATGAGTGACATGTTTAAACGTGGATGAGTCTTTGACAGAGTTGGTGTTTTTGTTCTTCCTACTCTCTTGCTGTTGTCCAGCTGTTCCTGAAGGTTGTCGATGGCACCGCTGTGTTTGACTCTGAGTTCTGAGAGCTGGCCCTCGTGGCGGCGAGCCCCGTCTTCCACACACCGCTGGAGATCATTTAACTCCGCCTCCCGACGAGACCTGTGGAGATAGGATAGGGTCAAAGATGTCCTTTTTGATTTCTTTTTTAGTCCTGATCTGACAAGAGAAATACAAAAATGGAACAATCAGAGCCTAGATGTATGTGTGCATTTACCTGAGCTCTTGCTGGGCAGCTGTGGTGTCCAGTGTGTCCTCCAGCTCGGTTCTCAAAGCCTCCAGCTCCTCCCCTAAATCTCTCCTCTGTTTCTCCGCCCGCTCCCTCATCCCTCGCTCATTCTCCACTTCCTCCTTCAGCTCAGACACCTGGGACATGGCCTCTCTCAGCGACCTCTGAGCTTCAGCACGACGAGCTCCTTCTTCCTCCAACCTGACAGAAATAAAGAAACATTTGTTTTGTTCCGCTTATGGTCATGCACAACTAAAGAAACGCTAAGTAAAAGGTGTCGGGTGTCAGAGCTTTGATCGGGCTTTATTTGTGTTTCAGCGTCTATCGTGAGTGGTCCTCTCACCGGCCCTGCAGGGTGGTGATCTCCTTCTCCTTCTGAGCCAGACTGCCCCTCAGCTCGGCGGACAGCATGCCCAGGTCTGAGAGCTGCTCCTGGGTTTCCACCGAGTCGTTCTCCATCCTCCTCTTAAACTTCTCCTGCTCCAAGCGACCCTGCTCCTCACGCTTCAGGCGCTCTGCACACGGTTGCAGATGATGGTATATTTGTTTGTACTATTTGTATTTGGTTTATTTTCTAAATGATAATGACTTGTAAGCCTTCTTGGGCTAGGCATAATATGTTTGCATGACACAATAATAATTGAAAGTCAATATATCAATGTTAGAATATAAATGATAAAGGTATTGTATTTGATTTCAACATTTTAAAGTTGTGTCTTTCAAAAGAATTCATAGAAACACATGTAGGTTGCCTGTGTGATGACATTAGGACATTTACCCTCCAGGTCAGCGATGACGGCCTCCTGTTTGTTCTTAAGTTTGTTGAGACTTTTAGTTTTCTCCTCTTCCTCAGTCAGCTGATCGGTCACCTCACTCAGACGCTCTTCAAACTGTTTCTTCTCCTGTTTAGTCAAACAAAGCATTGCATTGAAATGTGTACAAAATGATGCCCAAAACAAACACAAAAGATGATTAACTGTGATGCCCACCTTGCTGAGTCGGTCTCTCTGCTCCACTGTAGTCATCATGTCCGTTTCAAGACTCTTCACTTTGGTCTCCAAGGTAACCTTCTCCAGCAGGAGGCGCTGTCGTGCACTTTCCTCCTCTTCTAGCTGCTCCTCCAGGTCCTGAAAAGAGGATACCATTTAAATAACACGCAGGGAAAGGAAGCTCAAATCTCAGATTCACTTATTTTCACTGTATCTCCTTACCTGAACATTCTGCTGCATCTTCTTCTTCTCATTGGTCAACTGCGTGCCTCTCTCCTCCTCTTCCTCCAATCGAGTCTCCATCTCACCCAGCACCTCCTCGAGCTCCTGCTTCCGACTGGCCAACCGCGCCCTCATCTCCTCCGCCTCCGCAAACAGCTCCGCCTCGGCCTGCAGCTGGTCAGCCAGCACAGACTTCTCCTCGATCAGCTAGAACGTGTAAGTAAGTAAAGTGTATTTAGAAAGCGCTTTTCACAGACAAAGTCACAAAGTGCTTGACAAAACAATAAAACATCATCATAGGAATCGTACAATGATAAATGAACACACAAGCCACGTGTTAAGAAGTCATAAAAGCACCGAAACATAATAAAAACAAAATAAAAATGTAGTATAAAATAGAATAAAATCAAGCACACCGGTTACCCTGTGTACCGTTGTACAAGAGAGGAGGAAGAGCAGGAAGAGGAAGAGGAGATGAGCGAGGCACTGGCCGTTTCTCAATCTCGAGGATACTGGCTTCCAAGCCAATATTTCAAGGATGCTACGTCATCGAGTGCCGCCGAAGGACTGTTGAGACTGCCAAGGC